ATATCCTCAGGTTGATAACTCAACTCAAGTAAGTTATGAATAACAACTTCTAAAGATCAGATGTTCAGGATAGCATGGCTTTCGCTAATTTGACAAAGTTAGACATTTGTCGTTTTCAAATGCCACATCATGCTCATTATCAACTTGTAGCTGAAAGCACAGTTAAACGGTTTGTGAACATGAGTATTTGTTTTGAGTAGAGTATGAGTTTCTTCTACTATTTCGCTCTGTCGCTTTCTTTTTTGCTATTCCAACAAACTACATTCCTTGATCGCGCTGACTGCCTGATGTCTCTGCGAGTCATACACTGTTTCATCTATGTGATGTCTAGGTTGACCATCGTGCTGGGCTGAATTCGAATTGTAATATGAATATTATTTATATCGATTTCAAACATGGCTTCACCTGTTTTTTTTTTACTTTCGGCTTTTTCTAAACTGTTTTGCTTCATCTAACAGTTCTAACGAGTTAATTTTAGGGAAAACAATTTTCCTTTCAACGCTGCAGCTCGGCCACCAAAAATTGAACTGGGCATGAAAAGTGATGGTTCCAACATATTTTCAGGGGTTTGTACTCATAAACTATATTGTTTATCCTAACCAATGATCATTCTGCAGAATAACACAACACAGAAGGACGGAAGTATGAATGAGAGCTCAGATTTGCTTGCTTTTCTTCGTTTACATCATGCTGTTCGATTTTGTTATGTTGTTTTGTTTCCTTATCGCTCTAACTTTCAGAAAGAGTTGAATGAAGGTGTGCAGGTAAATGATTCCTCCAGATCATTGACAAAATTGAATGTGAGTTTGATATTCCGTGGAATGTTGCTTGTTTGTTAACACTTTTTCGAGCCTTTTCATTCAGACGCCATATTCTGAAGATAATGAAATAGAGCAAATTGTGGTTTATCCTAATGGGTATGAAGAGAGCTTAGATCCTCCACCTGAACCTAAGCCTTCTTATAAGAAAGGAAACAAAGGGGATGTCATATCAGGTCCTTGTTGTGTGAGTTTTGATTCTTCTTAGCAACATCTGTCGTACTGCTTCCAGGTTTGTGAAGCTGAAAAAGCTGGATTCCATTTTGGGGCGATAGCATGTGCAGCTTGTTCTGCCTTTTTTCGACGAACCATTTCCGAAAAAAGGAAATATACCTGTAAGAAAGAAGGCCCTGATCATATGAACTGTCCGATTGATAAACGTAATGTCGAAGCTTTTTTGCTGAAAGATTTGTTTTGTACAGATCACCGATGCTACTGTCGTGCATGTCGTCTCCAGAAGTGTTTAGATCAGGGAATGGATCCAATGGGTTAGTCAACTTGTGCATATGCCTAGTGTTAGTTCATGCTTCCGTCCTTCCTGCAAGTCAGGCCATAATCTCATTAAGAATTTGTTTTTGTTTTTGACCATTTTGACCCTTTTTTCACTCTAGTAAAGCTCATTGGAGTTTTTCTCTTTACAGCAGTCCAACCCCATCGTGATTCCATTGGAGCAAAACAAAACAGCACCCCAGGAATTAAGCGATCACTTGAGTCCCCTACTTCTTTATCGGAAAGAAGAAGAAAACGATCTTCTCCTGAATCCACTCCTAAACTCGTTTCTCTTGATGAACCCATTAATAGGTGATTTCCTTTTTCTTTACATGGATTTCAGCTCTAAAAGCTTTGCTGATCATAATACTCATAATCGTCTTTAGAATACCGCTTACTCCTTCGGATAAACCGCAGATATCTCCACAACTTTCAATGTTCAATCAGGTAGTTTTTTACGTTGAACAGTTTAATAAGATTGTAAGCAGCATGTACGGACGGATGGTCTGATTATGCCAAAGTTGGAGATCGACGGTGAAGTAATTTAATTTTCTATTCTTTTGGTGTTTTTATTTCTTTTTTTACAGTTTGAGTTTGGAGTTCGACCAGGGTCATCGGCATCTCGTCCTGAGTTAACACTTGAAGATTCGATAAGTAAGATTTACTCTTACTCCGTTCTTTCATTAACTGTTTTTGTAGGTTCTACCCAGTCACATACTTCATCTGAAGGCAACTTTCCACCATATGATCCTCATCAAAATATGATAGAATGTATGGTGATTGAATATAGGAAGTTGCAAGAAAGAAGGAGGTTAATTTATTGTCCGAGTACAATTCGAGATATTCTATCTGGAACGCCTGCGGTAAACGATATTAGAGTTACTTTTCTAAAATTTCTCTTCTTCAGGTTCCGAGGCCAACAAAGTTTTTCGAGAGACATAGAATGGAAAAGAATAGGTTGAGGATTGAAATAAGTATGTATGTTGAGTTTCTGAACTCTATCCACCCTTTCCCCAAGCTCTCCTTAGATGATAAGGTAACACTCCTATCATTGAAGTAATTCATCGTGTGTTTTAAGATTGCCTTGCTCAAACATCTATCTATATCGTTTGCTATTTTAGAAAAATTTTATAACACTATGAAAGCAGGCGGTCTCCAGTCCAATAGGTAAGTTTCTCATTTGTGTGTAGTATACTTTCTTCGTTTGTTTTCAGAATAATTCATGCCGATGGCTCATTTTATGATCTTGAAGCCCCTGAGTCTGTAGAAATCACTTTGAATGGAGAACCGCTTGATAAAGAAACTTTTTTGAAGTTTTTCACTTGGGTACTTCTTGCTCTTATTTCTCTATTCAGACTGTTCGTTGTGCCCCTTAAAGAATCTCTACATGAACTCTCTGGTGCTATGTACCATAACGGAACAACAGATATTGAATTCTGTGCTTTAGTTGCAATTTTACTATTCGATCCTTGTAAGTCTAAAAATTCAAAACCATCATTATTTTTTCCGGAATTCCAGCTGCTCCTGGGTTGGATGAAGGGACTCGTAGGATCGTAAAAGATGCTAGAGACAGAGTGTATTCGGATTGGTTCGCTTTTTATCGTGCTCATAACATCCAAGATGGAAGTGAACGTATGGGAAACACAATGTTATTGTTGCCTGCTGTTTTGGTTTGGCATTCAGATACATAAGGAAATAATTAATTAAAATTTCAGACTATTGTGGAAAAAACAGCAGAGAATTTCCATCTCATCCGAGTGTTTGAATTGTTTGATTATGATAAGTTTTTAGATGAAGTGTTCAATAGCGGCGTTTGTAGAGATTGATGTATATTTCATGCTTTTGTTTTACATCGTTTAAAATTGCCTTTTTCTTTGTTTTTTTTTCATGTTTGATTGTTGATAGATTTTACTAGTGTTTAGAAGGTGAAACATTCCCCATTATCCTAGCTTTATAGATTTTATACCCTTTAGTAATTCTTATATCCTTTATAATCATTAGCACTTCATATTTTCCGGGTTTGTGCTCAGCACGTGTTTTTATTAATTTTCATAAATATCTTTTAACATTCAGAGCTTTTTGATAAATTTTAAGAGAGAGGTCTCACACCTTATATCTTAATATGTGTACTATTCCTCTGGGATATTAACTTCATTCAGGCTTGAGGAGGCGCTGCTTTGAAGTTCGGGTAAAATGACCGATCTCGTTCGGCAGGTTTGGTGTAGCTGTGAAGATCAAGATACATTTCAATCTTTTAGGGCTTCATATGCCCTTTCTGTATGTGTGACTTGGGAGATTTCCCAAGTCTGCAGACGCACGTTGAAACAGTTCATCCAGAAGAAGAGGCGGAGGGAGATTTAACTGATGTGGTTCTGCAGAACATGAAAGGTATTCCTAAGTTTGACCAAATGAATGAATAACAAGTTCTCAGGTCTCTTCGACAAAGCCAAAAGAGGAATTCGAAAAATTGATGCTAAAGTTTCTTTGGATCTTGCTCAAGTAAACGTCGGAGTTTCCAACAGCATGACTAACTTGTCAAACTACGCTAATGCAGTACAAGATAAAGCACGTCCACGGCCTGCTCCCGTAATTCGTCCTCCTCCTGTTAGAGCAGAAATCGGTACGATCATTTTTTTTTATTCTCATACATATATTTTTAGGGATCGTGCGCTCTCACAAGGAGCTTTTTATCCAGAATCGAGACGCATCCGTCAATGAAAGTGCTGTAAGAACCAATATGTTGATTATTCGGCTCGATAGGCTTATCAACGAACGCCCCAACGACCCTTCCAAAAGAAAAGGTTAGTGTTAGTTTAAATCATTACATCATATTTTATACCAGACTTCGAAAGAGAGATTGTTCCATGGTTAGATGATAGAGACTCTACTGTTTGTCCGTCTTGTGCAGCCAAGTTTGGTCTCACAAGACGACGGCACCATTGTCGTCTTTGTGGGAAAGTTATGTGCCATCAGTGTAGTCGTTTCTTATCTTTCCTTTCTGCAAGTATGAATATATACATATTCTAAATATGAGATTATAATCTGCAGGAAAGCTTACTAACCCGTCGTTATTATCCTATACAGAACCAGAAGAAACGATAACCCAAGAGCCCGGCTCTCCATCCCATGGACGGAAGTTATTAGAAATTACTCAAAAAACTACTGAAAAAATGAAAATGTTCTTCGAAGGGGCTGTGAGTAAAATAAGTAATGATGGATCGGAAGGTAGTTTGGGATCATTACTCCAACAGGTGAGCAATAATCGTGCTTCTCCTAAGATTGTTTCTGTAGGATGCTACTGAATGTTTGCGCGTTTGCACCTCATGTCTAACGGATCTTAGAAGAAGGGAAGAAATGATGGAACAACATGTTGCTCCAGCTTTAGCAGAGCAATATGGAACTTTAGATATTTCTCTGAGAGAAATAGCCTCGTTATCCCCAGGCTATATTCGAATGGCTTCAAGTATTAAGCAAGTTCCTCCTTCTTTTCAACGTACCATATCCTGTTTCTTAGTAATGGCGAAACAATGTATACACTCAGAGATGCTGAGGAAATGCGTCAAAAGATATATCAGAAACAAGCCCAAATCGACTCTTTAAGGTGGTGTTTTTTAATACTTTATATTTTCACTGAGTTATATTTAAGTAAACGTATTCTCGAAGGCGGTGACGAGAAAGCTTTAAAAGAGCTGCAGCTGCGCAAAAATATTCGTTATGTTGCCATAACAACTTTAGAAGTCAGTCTTTATACTCGATTTTAATTATTTGTTTTCTTTATCAGGAAGTTATTTCTGGGATGACATCATTACCAACTCCTGAGCAATATCAGAAATTGGTTGAAAAACACAAACAAATCATTGCAAGGCAAATAGAAGAAGCAAGAGCTTGTCAAATTGATAAACCGCCTAAACTGGTTTGATTGCCAGTAGATTTTCAATCTTTAGTCGAAATCTCAGGTGACACAGAAGCCTCCACTGTCCTCTTCATACAGTAGCCCGATCACGACAGTTAGCTCACGCACGAAAGCAACAGACGAGGGATGGACACCGAATCAAACGAGGTATGATATGCTGCAGCAGGACTTTTCCAATCATCAATTCAGAGCTTACAATCCGTTTTTGGATGAAGAAGATATGCAACATCCCATGTATGAGCAAAGAGATATCATCAAAGGGTACCGAATGCTTTCCATGATGCACCTATGATCTAACTTTTAGGTACTTGACGCAAGCTGTTGCCGCTGGACGTCTAGAAGAAGTGGACATGTTAGAGCGGAACTTGAAAGATTTAGAGGAGGAGATGAGAAAGATGGGTTTACAAACACATTAAAACTTTAAGTGTGATTCTATTGTGATATTTTAACTAACGAGCTTATTCCAACATTTTATCAGTTTTTGGCCGGTTCCGGAGATATCTAAGGAAAAAGCATAACTTCTGTAAAGAGTCGAGGTGTCTCACCTCGCAAACTTAATTTATTCCATTATCTTAACTAATTCTGCATAGTCTTTTCTAGAGCATTTGAGCATGACGAGTAATTCTAATTTTGAGATTATGCTGATCACATCCCTAGTCGGATTTTCCAGTTTTTGTGGATTATTCTATTTTTGTAATAAAGTATTTGAACACTTTATACGGCAATCTGTCATTGGCTTTATTTCCGGTAATGAGTTACATCTTAATAACTGTGTAATTATGTGAATGGAACTGCAAGTGGTCGGTCAAGCGTACTATCATCGCTACATGTGCATGATGACGTAATCTGCAGGGATAATTGTCTAATATAGCAACTAGTGAATTCCACTAATTAAGAAGTCACCTTATGTTGTTATTATCTCACCAGGAAGTACTACCATTCAGTTTTCTAAAGATTGTGACCTACGGTAACTTAATGACAATTTATCAAGTATTCTGTACACTTCAACCTACTTTTTTTGATGAAAATGGATGAGTTCATTTCTGGAACTGTCCCTTATGTAGAAATTTTGTTGAAAGCATGAAATGGAACATTGAAATGTGCGGCAAAACCGTTCATTGGACAAGGAAAACGAATTAGAAAGAGAGTACTATTAGAAGCCGATTTGCTTCATGAAGATGTCATTTCCATTTACGGAATGCCATGTTTCAGTTAGCGGCAGCTCTTCATCTACTTACTTTCCAACTGTTCTGTAGCCGGTTTGGTGAGACAGCAGGGTGCCTGACAATCCTTGGATGTAACCGTTCAATTGGTAAATACGTTCAGCACACGTCTAATGATTTCTGCAGTTTGTATATAGCATGTAATAGACAAAAAGAATTCTCTGATGACGCAATAAAGCTGGCTGGGTGCACATTTACACAATCGACAAAACAAAAAAGAGATAAAAAGAATTTAGGAAAATAGATAGCCGACCTGACTGTCTGCTGATTATTAATTCGGCTACTTGAAAGATTTGGTTTTAACGTTACAAATCTTTTCAATCCTAAATACAGCAACAGTTCAATGGATAATGACACTTTATTCACCAAATAAGGTGTTTTATGGCCAATTATCCTTAATTTTTTATGTTTCTCCCCTTTTCTTCTGAGAAGTCCGACAAAGCAGAGCTTGCAGCTGCTCATCCTTGTATTATACCTATTAGTTTCATTTAATTGTTTTTACAACCGTTGGAATAACATAGGCACCTTTCATATATAGCATGACTACAGCCATGCAGATCAGTAATACGAATGTTGAGATGTCATAGAATTAATGCTTTTTGACTCACTTAAGCAACACTTGAGATGCAGAGTGATGCAACCGCTCCATTAGTCTCTCGAGCTCGAAATGCTTATTCGTTACGTGCGTTTGGTACAATCACTTTCAAAGTTACAAGATTTAGCAAGTGAGAGGGTTGAGATGTCGGTGTTGACGATACTTCCCAATTAGTTCGATCATACATTTGCTTCAATTTACAATAATTATTGGAGAAATGTGATGTTTTGGAAACTATTCACCGCTCCTCATTATTTCAATTGAATGAATGGGATACCTGGCTGTCATTATGCGGCTTCAGGTTTTCATCTAATACCTCTCATACATGTATCCGTTCTGATCCTTTCATTCTTTCACTAAAATTTGGCCATCTGCTCTTTTTGGACTACACTTCTATCGGCTTCTCAATATGCATTAGGTATAGAATTTGAGAGCAAAAATTGAATATGTAGGGATGATGATGTCGAAAGAAGATGATTATGAGCAGACAAAAGGTTCCTGGAACACTTGAAGACGGGCTAGATCAAACGAACGGCTGACCAGACGCAGATACTCTCTGGAATGAAAGGGGAAATGTCAATGAGAATGAAAGAGAGATGCATACCTTTAAAAGGATATGGTTATGACAACAATTACATGAAGCATCACTTGACTAATTACTTGAACAGCTGCCATAAGAAATTATGAACAACCATTGAAGAATCTTGAACATCTTGAACTCTTCCGAAAGGCGTTCAGTATGTTTTATGATTTGTATACAGTATTTATTTTATTTTTGATCATATTACGTATTTGCTTCTGGCTCTTCGGGATATTTGAAAACTCAAAAGAAACAGTTAGTATCTAGACAGGTTAAGCCTTTGAGCTAATATAATGATGTAAGAGTGAGATTATGTCTGATTGGATTTGATGTCCGAAAGAGCTTGAGAAACACCTTGAGCAATTAGCGGTTTTTTGCTTTGATCGGTCTGCTACAGTTGGGTCTAATCTTGTGCAAATATTCTTTCAGTAAATGGCTTCCGTTTAAGGATTAGGGTGTTGAGAAGATAGTTATTTATGTCAGTTAGCGTATTTATATACTTTCGGTATATCTTAGATGATTCTCTGCTTGTCGTATAAAATAGGTTTGGTCCTCCAGCATGCATCGGAATATCCATGTAAATTTGCCGCATATATGATGAGAGGTTCCAAGAGTTGTGGAGGTCAATGGTTTGGACAACTACTATTTAGAATTGCTCGTCTATTGGGAACAAAAAAAGAGATAGCCGGATGTACCGCTATATAATTACGGAAATTCAATGATTCAGACAAATTTTCGGTGTTTCTTGATGAAATCTCTTCTCACGGTTGTTCCTCAGAACAGAAAAATGGCTCGAGTTGGTTGATGTTTGCTTTGTTTCCCGAATAAATTAAAATCTGATGATTTGATGGCAACAAGACTGAAGCTATCTGTCATTTTCTCGATTAGTTATGTCAATTACGATTTGCATGGATTAGATCATCTACACATGTCATTGGCTCTTCAATCCCCTGCTGTGATTCAGCTTCTTCTCAATCATAAAACCATTTTTTCTGAATAAATCGTGAAGGAAATTAGCATATTGCTAGATAGTAAATAGTAATAAGAATTATTTTTTATTATATGACAAATAGCTCTGCAAATGAATTAATCATTGAGGACTCGTATAGGATTCTTGGATTTCACATATTTGTGAGTGTGGGTATGATTGCGAGAAAACATCTCCTAATTGTAATTATTTCAATAGAAAACAGAAATAATTAGTTCAAATTAGGGAAATGTGAGTTATTGAGATGTACAGTAGAATTGACCTTGACTCTCAAAGTTTCAATAAACTCATGAGTCGAAATAATTGAGCTTCTTTTGCATTCAAATTGCAGCTAATAGGTGAAGAACTGCTCTTCTGCCTTTGTATTCTATTTTCTATTCTTAAGTTTCATACTCACAGCTAAAGTTGTCAGTTAGAACGTGGGTTCCATTGCTGGACATATGGATATCGGGGTCGTTTATTGACGACAGTTGCTGATCCAGATGTGTTTCCCAATCACACATTCACTCATATAGATATACTTGAAGTTTTGAAATTCAACGATTATATCTCGCTGTTGCATTTTTACGAACTTCATATGTTAGCCGGATGTCACACGTTTATCTAGAGCTCAATAGATTCAGGCTAATCTGGAAAACTCGAAACAGAGAGGCACAAAAAGGAACGCCGTTGAAGTTCAGATCTGTTTTGCAGCTTCAACAATTAGTCTAAGATGTTGGGGAAATGAGAAGAATCTCGGATGTTATTCATACAAACACGGATTGAATGGATGCTTCACATTAAGATTGTTTGACCTATAAAAGGCTTTTAATGATTTGCGGTAACAAACGTTTCACAAAAGTAAACCAACATAAGGAGCGGAAGAAGTGTGAGAGAGCAAATGATGCTAAAGGAACTTGGCTCAGCTGGCTTTTTTGTTAAGATCGTCTCAATGCATCACTTATATGAGATATGTCATTTGTAAGGCTTTTTGGCATTGTCTTGAGTGCCGCTCTAAATAAACATCCATTATGAAAGTAGAACCTATACTTCTGTATGTGTACGTATTTCTGTTCAAAAAAACTGCTGTATGTATATCTAATTCCCTGTTCAAACCAATATATTTCATTTATGAGGTATCATTATGGTCTCAAGAAATGCCAGCGGATACGAATATCTACATCACAACCTAATAAATGATAATTGGTGCGAACAACACTTCTTTTGCTTCCAGCAATACTTGCTCATAGCCACACAATCTGAAGCTGTTCACAGTACTCACGTAGATACTATAGTTTTATATTTCTTATTTAGCTGATCTGGCCCATAGAAGTGTTTTTTTGGGAAGAGGATATAAAAAATAATCTTCAACAGGTGTGGCCTCAGATGAAATTAAAGCTGATTGACATATGGATTATCTAACAAATTGTTTATTCAACTTATATCATAACCAACTTTTCCCAACTGTTTATTGTTTACCTGATGAAAGGACAGGTAAAAAAGAACGAGTTTATATAATGATATCGCTTACAACTACTATACCATCTGTATATGAGGACAATCTATCAGATGAAGTAGTTAAGTATATATTTGAATAAAATATATTATATAGAGAAGTAATTTATTTTCTAATCACTGAGTTAGGAATGATTTGTTTAGAACAATGAACATAAGGAATGAACAGTTGTTCATTCACTCTGTCTATCACCGAATACCTTTTCTACTTGATTACTAAATTTATAGCTAAAATAGACAATACGTAACTGAATATTTTCGAACAACTGTTCCAATTAAAGTTTTTGCCAAATTCCCTCAAAATTTATGTTCTTCGTTCGAATTTTGCTGTCTCTTATCCTCCCTATCTCTCATTTGCTTCACCTCATTTGCATATAATGATTTTCATTGTTGACGCCAATTTCACGTGAGAAAACAGCTTTCTTTTCATTTTCATTTTGGCGACTTATCCGAACGGTTGTATACGAAAGTTTCACATTTTCTTTCTCACTCTTACTCTCTCTCTCTCTTCTTTTATCTATTATTTAGCTATTGACCATAATTTCTGTCTGTCTGTAACGGTATCAACATCCTGTACTTTCCCGCCGATCAGCCCACCCCTGCTCAATAGGCCACGCCCACTTCAATCTCATCTGCCCCTCCCACAATCGTCCATCCTTCGTCAATTCGAGTCTCACCTCGTCTGCCAACACCTCCTCCGCTTCATTCCTGCATACCTTAAGCAGAAAAACTCAATTTTTTGAGCTACATCTATCAGAGGAATCATTTTTTCAAAATGACCAAGCCAACTCCCAAGACTTCCAAGGCTTCTATTCAAACCGCTACATTCAAAGCGCAAAAGAGTTCTTCTCAAAGACTCACAAAAGCTGAACAAGTAGAACTTCGTCGTCTTTCGGCTTTATTACCTGCTACATCAGCCACCAAGAATCCAGCTGATATGCTTTTCAATGCTGTTGACTATATTCAAAAGCTTGAAGCTACAATTATTGCTCGTGTCAAGAGTGGATCTTTACCTCAAGGTAAGCTCTTCTTTTTAGTTTTTCTAACCACTTTTTCAACTTATTAATTTCACTTCTCTGATGATTCTCTTCTTATTCATTTTTCGAAACCAAAAAAGAGATTACTTTTTCCTAATAGAACCATGATTCACGTGAGATACTATACTTGATGGCATTTGGTGATTTATATCAATTTCGTTAAGATTCCCACGAGTTTTGCCTGGGCTCTTTAATATTTAAATGACGAGGGCAAGGTTACAATTAAGTTGTTATCTCGATTAAACCCTTTCTATGAAACTTCTATGTTGATCAGCCAGTTCGAGGTCATCTCCTCTCATCCTTAAATTTCTTCTTGCCTTCTTAGCCTCTTTTACTACCGTTTATAAGTATATTCTATTCAGTTTCTTTCTTTATTACGGTATTCAACGCTTTAATCTCTTGATCGTTCTCAATTCAATCCGTTTGACTGTTTTCTCATCCTCAGTCTCGAACTTCATTCAAAGAAAAATATGCAAACGAAGAGAAATAGTAATATTATTAATATTTTCCATTTATAGAAATGCTGAACTCCCTACCTGCCGCTACTGTATCAAACCACCGACAAACAACGCGTCGACTGAAGAAGAGAAAGAGCATCGAGAAGAAGCGCTAAGTCTCCAATTTCCTTATTAGAGACACCTAGTGTCCTATCTAATCAATCTCATACTGTGATGTGTAATCTCGGGTTGTGAATAGAGTATAGCTTTCTTTCAATTGACATTACTTTTCTCCTACATATGACCCTTATAGTTGATTACAAGATAGCTCTTGATATGTATTTTTTTTTATCAATAAACATTTTTTTTCTATTAATTTGTATATTTCCACGAATGAGCTTCTGGCTTACGCAATTAACAACCTTACCAGGAAACAACAGAAGGGGCAGCAGACGATTTTTTCAACAATCATAAGCAAAAACATCTGCCCATAAGCTCTTTCCTTTTCTTACACCTCTGCTAGCTCAAATAACAACAATAAAAAATTTGGAACAGAATGATGACGTCGATTACATGGGAATCTGTATGCCCCCAATTGGAAATTCATTTCTTTCTTCCGTACGACAGGTGTCTCACTTAAACTCAATTAAATTACTGTAAGTAACCTGAAAACAAAAAAAATTAAAAGATTATCTTTAAATTTTATGACTCCCAATCAGATGTGCTTGACTCAGAATACAGAAGGCGTTTTTCATAACCTCAGTGTTGATATTAAGATGAGAAAAATCCGACGATGACATAATCGCATGACGTCAGAGAGTGTTTGATGTTTCTACTTGATGTCATAAATAGCATTTTTAATTTTATTTTGTGTGTATTGTAAACATTCCGATGCATTCATATATGGAGAGAGATTAAGTAATTAAGATAATATTTAGACTTTCACAAAAAAAATTTTCTTTGCGTCATACCTGCTTCCTAATGTTATTAAGACAAATTTTTGTAACTGACAGTGATGGTTGCCGACAAAAAGATTTTTTATCGGATTGCTTGATTGGTTAATGAGAGTCAAAAGGAAACGGCAAATATACCGTAAAAGGTGAAACAGAAGATAACATTCTCAAATGCCATCAAAAACCTGTCATGGCTTTCACAGACGCATCAAAAAACGTCTGAGTCAATATATTTGGTGATGCCGAATATTTTTGCTTCTGGCTTTGGCTCATTATCGCTTTATGTCAGACTGTTGATTGATGTCGGATTTCTAAGAATATTCGGCTTATATTTTATTCCCGGAATTGAATAAATGAGTTACAAGGTGTGTATGGAACATTCTGCTCTGTCCAATAACCACTGGCTATTATGGCATTCACCGTTCGAACACTTAATTTCAAATAGTGCATTTCTTCTTATTTTTACTTGCGAAATATTTTCTGATGATTGTCTCTACTCTCTGAGCTCCGTTTTTTCCCAAACGAACATACGTGAAAACATGTGGCTCATATCGAACCCTCAACCTCATCGTCGTCGGCCTCATCTGGATTGTCAGATGAATTCTTATTGAAACTCACACACAACTTCTTGCTTAGTTAATCGAATACAGAGTGAATAAGAGATTCACAGATGTCCTGGAGTCATTATAGTTTCTGTGAGCCAGTCAAAATTTCCAGCTGACAATTCTGGCGGCCGGCTGGTTGTGAATTTTTGAAAAAGCCATATGGAGAACGATAAGTTGAGCCTGATGTCAAAGAAAATTAATTTTTTTATGTCCAATTTGGAACTATTTAATTTTCATTTGTTTGCTCTAGTGTTGAAATACGAAAAACTTTTCGAAACTGCGTTCCGATCTCTGTAATCGAGAAAGGTTAGAGTGGCCAGCTGTCCACACATATATGATCTAGAATAACAACAGATTGAGAATATAAGATCTCATTTGATGCGGTAGAATGTGAGTCACATCTTGAAGCAAACATCACGGAATTTTTTTTTATCTTTTGAGCCAACAATACGTCCATCTATCTATAGGTCAACGATTACCATTCTCTTTAGGATGTTTGGCAGCATCGTTACTATAATCTAAGGAGGGTGGACAGGTCAACAAGTCTCCTCATAATAAGGTTAATACTATCTGAGAAAAAAAAGAAAAAGGACGTAGCGTGAAGAGGAATGGGAAACCCAAGAATCTGAGAGAGAAAGAGTGAGAGAAAGAGAAAGATAATCAACCGTCCGTTATGTCTACAACTCATAAAATAAAAATATTTGATCATCACGTGAACGTGCGTGAGAATTAGAATAAGAGTAAAGGTACCGGAATTAGCATAAAAATAAAATAAAATTGAATATATAACCGATGAGGCACGGTAGACGTCCTTCACAATTTTTCCTTTACTACTCGTAACATGAATTGGTTGTCAAGAACAAAAGATTCAATTTGTCTTGGTTCTCAGTCGACATTTCTTTTGCCATCTTTTTTTTTCATTTTACAGCTCATCTCCATTTCATTGGATATTCAAGGACATTTGGCTGTCCACCTTGATCTGACTTGAATAATGCCCAAGTTATGAACTAAATCATAAGATACATTCAATTTCAACTAAACTGTGTGATTTTTGACATGAAAGCTTCATTATAAGCCAACCTAACCCACACACAGTAATACTCAGCCTGGTCATAATAGATGGTTTAATGAAATCATTTAGTCGATCCTTTGAAGTCTATTCATCATATCCGACCGTTCCTATTATTAAAGACTTGAAACGGTTATTCATACGTCCTCTTAAGGTTGGGCCTTTGTGAAAGGATTTCGAAAAAAACGAATTAAATTTGTTTTTTTCATATTACGTCGGTACAATGAATGAAATAGAGAAAGAGAGAGCAAGTGCTTGGCTAGACTGTATGTTTGTTAGTCTTTATGATATTACCATAAGGTGGCCATACCCTCTAAAATAGTCAATTAAGCTGGTCCTTTGATGAGTTTAAGTGGTTATGTCAAAGCCTACTGTTCCGCTTATTGTCTCTATCAATCCGAAAATACAACCATGAATGCCGTTTGCCTTTCCCACAACTATCGTTCCTGTCGAAAAGAACTCATATGTTATGATAATTGATATTTAAACTATCCGTTTTGTCGGATATTTGAAAGATCTTGCCATTTCAAATAAAATATGATGATACATTGGGGGTTAAACAGATGAATTGATGAAAATTTCTAAGACGGCTAAACACAACCCAAATTATTACGCAACAGCTGTAAATAGCGGGATTCATGAAGGGCAATTGATGGCCAATGTGTTGAACTGCAGATGTGCATGTTTTCTGTACATGCCGATGCTGTTCGTGATAATATTTATGGCAAAAGCCAGCCGACAAATGACGATTTCCGTTAAGCGCCAGCTGCACGCCGCTTTCTTTCGGTCATCAAACCTTTCAATGAATAACTGTCATAATGCTTTATTTGAAATTTATGATGATGTCAACACCTTGCGTTGTTTGCGATTTTTCAGAGTTGATAAGCTAAATGGTCAAAAACAGTGATGAAGTAAGGGACGGGTTGAAAAGTTTTATTCTATATCAAGCATCGGTGGTTCAGTGGTAGAATGCTCGCCTGCCACGCGGGCGACCCGGGTTCGATTCCCGGCCGATGCAACTTCCTTTTGCCCTAGTGTTAAATTATTTGCAACCTGAATTTTTTTCAAAGTACAATGTAATAGCAACTGAGCGACAACGGATGGTTATTCAATATTTTATGTAGAACTCAGCTGAACATGTGGTTTATTCATCAGTTAGTCCACATGTGCCTCCTTTGCGTTAACGTCACACCGACGGTAGCGATTACAGAAGAATCACATTACGTGTTTGGTTGACATGATTTTTCATTGAACGGAAATGAACAAAAATGTTTAAACTCAAATCTGTAGAAAGGAAGGAGACAGAAGTACTTCCGAAAAACATAAGGAAAAACCTTGTTCGGTCAATTAAACAGGAGTTAAGCGATTTCTAAACATGAAGTTGAGCCTGAAAAGGAAAGACAGTGAGAAAGTTAGGGAAAACAGATGTTTGCAACTCGTCTTAGTCAAGGAATATAAATTACTTTTTCAGTAGAGTTTCGGTTGGAATGCCATTTTTTCATTCACTTAAACAATGAATAAGTTTGTAGAAAGCAATTTAAACTTTAATGAAATAAAGGAAGAATGAACTATTGTGGGAAACAGGTGTTTCTGAAACTTTCAGAACGACATGAGATTTAATCTCTCAAAAATATAGACTTTTTTTTTGTATTCACATGTCACCACAGCGGATGATATCTTTCACGTTATTCAACACAATGTGAGATTACATAAGTTACACTTGTCACTGTCTGCATAGCCTTGAAGCTTTCACATTCATCTAACTTACTATTAAACAGCGATATATTCTAAAGAAATCAAGTAAGGCTCTAGGATAATTCCTCAAGTTTGAGATTAACGACTAGGTTATGGCAAGACACCTGACTCATCAATCCTTCTAACCATTACTTTGTCCTTCATTTATATAGATAATAGTCTAGTCATCCGTCACAATAAAATAGTTAATTTGGCAACATGATCATCCTTTATGGAAGTTTAACAAGATGAGTTGTGGGGTGGTCAGTTCGATGTAAGAAAGTACTTAACTGTCTGGAAGGAAATCTCATATTCTATTCTCATCTATTATATTTCTTCAATATGTTATTAGTTTAATTATATGTCATATAGTTATTCAACATGTCAATACTCCAATGAAAAATTAAAGAAAATGACTCTGTTTGACACTCAGCTGTGAGTGGTAAATATCTCAGTGGGGTATCGACAAGCATGGCTTCGTTATATCAATAAAAATCATGGTAAGCATCAAATTTTGTATGCAAATTAGTGCTAAATTTTCATACAATTCTTGGAAATATGCAGAAGGTACTGATTTCATGAGACATGTGCAGCTATTATCGTCAATCACTTCAATGCCTCAACATATCCAAAACTCCAATGAGAACTGAATAATAAGGGAAACCGTGAAATAGAAACAAACATAATTGTGAACGAAAAAAAGTTTCTTATGTTCTTGTTTCCCATGACGGTCATAAACGATTTTCAGTTGATGAACCGAGACGAGCATGCGGTAAGATAGTGGTGGGAACGTCTGGCAGATGGGATGAATAATC